CCCCGTAGCTCAAGGTCTGGATCCGCCACTGCTGTAGATGATCACGGACATAATGCGAGGTCACGATTGCCACGTGATAATTAAAATACACAGTTTTGGATGCATTACGTCCATATTCGTTTTATTCTTGAAGACACCTTGGTGGCGGGGGTGGGGGTGTTCACAAAAAGCCCTTCTCCAGGCTCACGAGGCTGACTAACTGTTTTATGGCGAGAATAAGGAACGAGTAATGCTTACTTTGCTTCAATAAGTGCCATTTCCTGATCCTTTGATTTTAGCTCGCTTTCAAGTGAAGTTATCCTACCGATGAGGAAAATTACAGGGAGGAATTTTAAATGATTTTCAACTTTTGAAACACACTAGCAACAAATCGTTAACCCTCTTGAAAATACATTAACTGGTTTAGCTACAGGGGATCCGAACACTGTATCAGCAATAGTATAATCATCCATAAATAGATGTACTGTTATTTACCTGTGTCTTTTTGAGCCATTTAGAAGGGTTTTGAACAGAAGCGAAGGATATTTAGATTTCACATATTATCTTGTCTGCCGTTTTGTAAATGTGACGCTCCGATTACATCTCAAGTTCATTATCGGCGCTACTTATACACTCTCATCGATGACAGCAAATAGTTAATGACAATTACAGGTAAATAGCAGTACAAATATCAATGGTTATGCTATTGTTGATACAGTGTCCGGGTCCCCTGTGGTTTAGCAAACAGAATAACTGCATCACTGGTATAAAGTTCACACATCTCAACGTTTGTTATGTGTTGCGGCTAGCTGTTTCTGACTAGAAGGGTATGGGATGGACAAAATTACATTTTCTTATGATTTTTTTTTTTTAAAAAGACACAGATGTTAGTATCTTTGATGAATTCCACAGGCGATCTATTTGTCGTGGACATATATAATTGATCATACGTTTTATGACACAGAATGTGTTAAGGGATATTTCACCTACAGGCCCTAACCGTACTGTGAATTTGTCATAGAAGCTTGAAAAATTAGGATAATCGTTCAAAAAGTGGAACTATTTTGTGGCGGAATAGTAGCAAAAAAATTTTCGTTGGCCTTCTTTCAGTCCACCGCTTACCGTAAAAAAAAATACGTAGTGGCAATATGTAAATTGGCAGATAACAAAAAANAAGAAAAAAAGAAAAAAAAATTCTAAATCAATGTCTTAAAATGTCTGTTTAAAGGCTTGTATGCCGGTAGCAAAAGCTGAACTGAACTTCGAAAATCATTGCTTACCTATCTGTTAATTCTCCAATTTTCTCCTGACTGACTTCAGCTTCTTTAATATACTCGTCACTACTAGGAGGAAATAGGTATTTGTTTGAGTTATATAACAACTGCAATATCTCGGCGGGCTACTTTTTAATTGTCGACGTGTTAATGTGTAAACAGTCTCCTTTCCTGAGATCTGTGGAAAGGTCTGTCCATGCAATTTGCTTTATTTTCTAATACCTGGATTTAAGCTTTTCTAGGGTAGTGTAATAGTTTCTGCAACGGGTGATTTCTTCTTCTTTATCCTTGAACAATCTGTTGAATGATCAATAATGTAACAACCATTTTCTCTTCAGATATTTTGCAGCTTTTGAAAGCCAATATCTTCTTTTATACTACAACTAAATAGCTTAATTGTTCACCATATATGTATTAAGTTTCACAAGCACTTTGACTGTTTGAAGTCAGTTTATATCTTGCATTAAGTCTTCTCTACGCAAACATGTATGCTAATGAGGTAAAATGTAACAAAATGACGTCAGCAACGATCCCCCATGCAGGTTTCAGTGGTCACATACGTGAACTTGCTAGTTTCCAGTCCTTGTGCGACACGCCATATAATAATATGTTCTCTCTTTCCCCTTCCCGGCATTCCCCGCGCGCTTCTGTTTTTGACTCTCTCTAACCAACTAACTACCCGCCTCCAGTCAAGAAGCCTACGGTCAAAGCAGCACGAAAGAGGCCCCCTGCGGAGGAGAGAGGACCAAATACCAAGCTAGGAGGAGAATGGGAATTAAATCAAATGACGTAATCATTCAACACCCCTACCGAGTGCAGAGGAAGTTCGAAACCTGTATTTCACTACCATGCAAAATCCTGACCTTTCTTGCTTGGATGTAATTTCTTTCATTGCTTCGATCTGTGCGTTCTTTTCTTGGATAGTTTTTTCCAGCTCTTTAATCCTATTGTAGAGGAATAATTCACACTAAGCTCTAATATACATGTAATATTCGTGTAATATTCGAGCAATTTCACCAACTATTTTTCTCAAGTGCTTTTTTATTATGAGATAACAGTCAGACAAATATTCGAGGAGCAAATGAATTCACTGCAATCATCCTATTTCTAAAAACAGCGAATAGGATATTAAATTGGTATTTAAAATCGAAACTGTATGTGTTTTAACGAACAGAAGTTGTAACTCGAAAGGAGATGGGAAAACCAAAGTGGCTTACAGAAAAGCAACATGTTAAAGAGAGAGTAACACAGAATTTTGTTCATGTGTCAAACCCCTTCAAAGTGCCTTTTTCTGTACAAAACTTTTAATGGCCATGGTTTATTAGGTCATCAAAAAGAAGCGATATATTTTTAGTACTAAATGTTTAGTAAAGAGCAAAGTAAACTTTAAAAAGCTAGTTACTACGGAAAGAAACATATTTGAATACAGATAATCCAGCGAGGTGGCGTTTTATGGTACCAGGGACCACGGAGACCATTTTGAAGTGGTAGAGCTAAAATATCTGGGGAAGGCAAACAAGCGTTTGTGGTCACTGTTCCGCGTCTCATACCGCATTTGCCCGTCCTCTGGAGCCCTAAAAAATAAACCCAAGGAAAAAAAAAAGGGCGACTGCTGTAGCCATAACAGCCTCTCCCCCTCCGTGATCCCTGCGTACTGGCCGTTATGAAAAGCTTCCGGAGTAACTTTCCTCTACTTCTTCTCCCACAATTTATGTTGCAGTGGCTTTGAACCCTTTGAAGCTCAACCCTATTAGGATCAACAAGTGGTATCCAAGGCAAGAGGCGTTAGTGACACGGACCAAGCTTAAGTTTATAAAGCGAACTAGTTGATGATTTCAGTTCAACACATAAAGCAACTGTTTTTTTTTATAAGTATGAGAACAGAGAGCAGAGAACGCTTAGAAAGAGAACACTAATTCCGTGGAGTCGCTCTTAGATGGAGGTCTCACATGCATTGTTTCACATTCTGTAGGCAGGAATAACTTTGCAAGTCTTCGTTGTATTCAAACCATGTTATCAGTAATAACTCTTGCAGCTGTTACGCACTTATTACTAAAATAAGTGTATACCTATGTCCAGTAAATACCTTTCATCTTTTTCTGCCATTTCGCCCTGCAAAGATTTGTAGTGTCTAAACAAATCTGCTTTCTTCCTTTTTGTTAAAACGCGTTGTTCATCTTCTCTGTTAAAAGTGGAGGAAAGAGGATAATTTAAGCAGACTTACGTAACGTTGCCATCATCTTCCTGATTTTAACAAACTGTTAGGCTCAAAACAGCTCATTGTATTCAAAGTCTAGCTAATGCCACAACTCAGTTTAGGTTCTGTAGTGTATGTCCATATTTGGTATTTTCTTAGTTGGAAATGAACATGTGCCTAGAGCAAGGGACGCCATCTTGAATGGAGGATTAAAATTGTTGTGTTGTTAAAACATGTCTCTTATTGATCCACATACGCTACAGGTTCAATACAGCAACTGAATTGTTTACTTGACTTTACAGAATATAGCTTCCGTTCGAAAAGTTGTTAAAATGTCACGCAGTCACCTCTTCAAGGCCATGCTTAATTAATTTGCTTTTACCATTCGAAAAAAAAAAAAAAAGAAACCAAGAACTGTAAAGGCTATATGTAAAATCAGTTATAAAATAAAAATCTTACCAAAATTAAAAAAAAAGTCAAATTTAAAAAACACTACATTTCGTGAAACACCGTTAAAAATATCGTTGCCATACAAACGTCAATTCTCGTGGGCAAGATATTCTCCAAGCCATCTTTGTTAGGACATTGACTCTGTCCAACCGCTGCTCTCTGACAAAATAAGGTCCTACTTACCTGCATTTTCGTGTTCCCAAGCCGCTCAGAGATATAAGTATTTATGCATTTTTAATATGCGAAATAATTCGATGATTGTCGACGTTTGCTGTCGAACGACTTCAGTGTCTTTCCGCCGCTCGCTCTTCACTGGCAATTCTAAACATTTACACGATAACTGCAGTTAACAAACATATGAAAACTCAATTGCATACCTACTCATATCGAAATTCTGTGTTTCACTGGTCTCGTTTGGTATTAGCCTTTCCAACATTTCTGGTAGGGTAGGTAATACCGCCCGATGCTGTTTCAACAAATCTACGAAAGACTTGGCAAAATTTACTTGCAAATCTTCCCTGGTTGCAACGCCTTCCGATGAACCTTTGTTAAGCGCCATTTTTCTTATTCATACAGATAACTACCGAATTTATCTCCAAAATACTTCGTAGACTCTCACAAATAGTCACCTGCCTGTAGAAGTGAAAGGCAGCATAAATATATTAGCTGCAGCTTCAAGGTAAGACCGGAAATATTAAGTCACGAGTTATTTAATTGTTAGGTTCATCTGTTCATAAACAACTCTATACGTATAGCAAAGCAAAGTAACCTATATTACCCTTCTCCTCTAAGATTAGCTGGCAGCAACCGAGAGTGGTGATTCAGACTGCCGTCCTGCTTACTTAGAACATTTACTAGGTTTCTCCGATAAAAGAGTAGCAAAATAACGCAAATCAATATTTGACCTTTCAGTTTCTGAGAAACACAATAGACAACAATTTAATGTTATCGTTGAATTCTCTCGGTAGGGGATCTCTTAATTGCGTCTATACAATTGCGTTTTCTACGAAAAAGCGGAAATGGCCATGCCAAATGCATATCCTAGTAAAGCTTATCATGCAGAAGGCAGCTAAACTCTGCAACTTTTGATCTTCGCTTGAATTGAAACTTGATAAAAAAAAATGAATAGAAACGATTGAAATACTTAGACACTTAAATATAATTACAATTGTCTACATGACGTATTGAATAATAACGCCAAATAATAGAACGGCCAAGTTTCGTTTATTTAGTTATGACGTCATCTTTCCAAGAAAAAGTAAAAAAATAGACGGTATAAACCCCTCGAGTGTAATTTTACAGTTTCACACAGGAACAAATATCTGCACGTAATTTGTCTTGGTGTTCATCGAACGACTTAGTCACTCAAGGCCTTAAATCTTGATTTTGCTCTTACGCCTTGTAAATTTTACTAAGCCACGTCGTCACTGTCCACACGTACACATCAAACATGGCGGAACACTGGCAAACCCTCGAAGGTAACTCGTCTATTGATTAACGGAAATTTATCTGATATACGAGATAACAATGTAAATTAAAGTTCGTTCAGTGATTGTAGAGTACACCGCATCGAGCTTCGGCATCCTCAGATTAAAACAATTTGATTCTTCTGGGATTTAATTAAAGCTAACAAGTCAAGTTTGTTACCTTGATCCGGGGATAGAAACTCTCATGTAAAAAGAAAAGGCTATCTGAGCAGTGCTTTAAGGTTCTCAATATTAGATGAGCAACTGAAGTTCAGTTGAAAGCTTACTCTGATTTGTCTTTCAAGCTGACCTTTCTTTTAAACAGATAAAGGCTGGAATGCAAAATTAATTTTTGTCGTTACCTAGCTCACCAACGTTTATTTCTTGCAAATATATGCTTCATGTAACAAGCACTTAGAAGTAAAAATACTTGATGTACTTTGCAAACAATCCTGGGAAAAAAGTTTCCGTTCCAGAAACATCAGTATATTTCATGATGAAAATCGAAATCACACGAGATATTAGAAGTACATTCAAGTAAACCGAACAGATTAACACTGTATGAAGGATTACTAGAGATTGTGTCTCAATGACAAAATCTTCTAAGATCGATATTTTCTGACATTTTAAACAACTTATTATACATTTTTTGCTTACATTATGAGATCAAACACTCAGCAGTGTACAGGTAATAATTATTATTTTAAATTAATTGTTGATTATTGTTTCACAAAGATATGTCGCTCCAGATTGGGCACCTTTAGTTGGTGAACATTAGAGTAGAACGTTGTCTAATTCAAACCCCAATCTCATTTTTAAGAACAATTACTCAAACCACAATTTCTGGAGATTCCTCACCTCGAGAACTTACGTATCAATATAACGATCTTTGTGCCATGCTTCTCAAACCATGCATGCATTAGTAAGTCGGTAAGCTTATAATGAACAATCCTTTTTTTAAACTTAGTCAAGAGTTTTCCTTAATTATCGTACCACGTCACCTTGAAAGGCTGTGAAAATCTCCAAAGTGAAGCTAAAAAGTCCGGCTGTGAAATTTCTTAACATTGTAGTAAAACTGTTTCATGATGTTGCAAGAAAATTATTTTTTTTAGTATATGACCACCTCAAGACAGCAAGCTAAAGAATGATATGGGTGACTGCTTCAAAAGTCCTCTCCCCAAAAAGACTTCCCCCCTAATCCTAGGATACCTTAAAAGCCAAGCCTTAATAGGGTTATAGAGGTCTAATATCTTTCATATATTAGGTAGATTCCTCACCCCTTAACTGTCAGCTATGAATCGAATTGCGTAGAAATGAATGAGAGGGATTCTACTGAGTTAACTGAAAAGGAATTTTTATTTTATTCAATCTTTTCACAAAAATTCCAAAGAATTGGGATTGGGAGAGGACTTAAAAATAGTTTCACCTATTTCTTTGTTTTTACTTTTCTGGGCGTGAAGTCCAAGAGGCTGGCGACCTGTATCTTTCCTCGGGCCTGACATACATTGCATTGGTGGCAATCGACTTTGGTACCACCTTCAGTGGCTTTGCCTTCTCCTTTAACTACAAGGAAGGGGAAAAAGGCATTCATATGAACAAGGAATGGGGAGCAGATCAAGGCCTCTCTACTTTAAAGACACCCACCTGCTTGTTGCTAAATCCCGACGAGAGTTTCAATTCATTTGGGTACGAAGCACAAGATAGATACGCTGAACTAGAGGAGGAAGAGGCTCAGGAATATTATTACTTCGAGAACTTTAAAATGGTTCTTCACAACGATCAGGTTAGTTTAATCTGACATGAAACTCCCCTAAAACAAACAGGCAGTTCCCACTTGTAATTTTGTTCAGTCTTAGTAGTTTTGCCCTCGTCGCTTGAATTGTGTTTTCTTACCTAATCATAAAAATTACAATTTCCTCGATTGAGATTGTTTTAAAAAACTCTTATTTTCCACTAATTCACTTGCCAAGTGGTTATCGAACAGTTTGTTATTGGACAGTTTGTTATTGGACAGTTCAATAAGCCAATCACATTCAAAGTTGTAGTTACGTGCGTGCGCTTGCTTTTGTGTTTTTGGCGCCTAATTGCCGATAGGAGGCGCGGTGACCTTAGAATGTGTACATCTCCTTTGTAGGTATTTTAATGCAAATTTTCCCTTTCTTTCATACCTTGGCTATTCTTATGTTCTTGGAAATTGTAATTTTTATGATTAATTGGTAATAAGACTTCGTGTCGTCCAATGCGGTCTGTAAACATACACGTGATAAACAAATCGGACTCCCGCTACGCGGTCGTCCGATTTTGTTATCACTCTTATGATAACCGACCGAATTGGACTCCACTCAGTCCTATTACCATTACTTATCGCCTATTTTAAGAAAAACTTAACAAGCTACTTTTTGGAAACCATTCATACTTTGTTTCTTTTTTCGCTTGAACACATACACAGATTTACATTGATTATTCAATAAATATTATACTCAAAGCCTAGTTACACAGAGATACCTTGTAGTTTCTGTCAGGCCTCCACGCCATTGCATTTATTTTTTAATAACATCTCCATTTTAATACTAAATTCTAACGTTTTTTATTTTTTTATTTTTTTTTATTTTTGGCTTATTGTGGCTTTATTGTACTAAGTATACTGAGTATATTATACTTCGTTTTCAAACATTGCAGAAAATGTAAGGCCAATATCGATATATTAAATTCTGCCTTGGCTCCGAGGATTAGGGGATTAAAATAAAACAAGTCTTAACGATGAATAATTAATTTATTTTGGTTTATTCTCCTAAGCTTCGGAGCCAAGTTAGAATCAATATATCGAAACTGACCTATTGTAACAAGTAATTATAATTTGCCATAGAATCAATGATTGTCCCACTGAGTCCACAAACTTCACTTCTTTTCAGAATTTGAACATGGAAACTACTCTGGAGGCTAGGAATAGAAGACCTGTGAAAGCTTTGGAGATTTTTACTTATTCCATACGTTACCTCCACACAAGGGCTCTGGAAGTTATCCGAGAGAGAACCGGCGACGAACATTTTAACTCTCGGGATATCCAATGGGTTTTGACTGTACCAGCGATTTGGAAGCCAGCTGCCAAACAGTTTATGAGAGAAGCAGCATACCAGGTAAAATACTTATGGAAGTTCTTTACCGGGAGGCGAAAGGGAGCAAATTTAAATTAAATTTCTAAGGTAAATTCCCCAATATATTTTTTTGGGCGCACAGATTAGAGTTTCACCATAATATAATGCGTACATGAAGCTTAAGCATAACATTACTTTTCAAACAAAAGGGACTCTTTCCCGGCCAGAGAAACACTGCGTTCAAGAGTGGTATAGAGTGGTAAAGTAGATGAATTTAAATATTAGGCAGTGACGTCTGTTATATTGGTGAAACCATTAGACACCTAAGTGGTATCTTCACGTGCATGAGGGCATTTCCACTTAAAACCTCTCACCTCTAACACCACTTGTCGTGAACTATGCTCCCTTCCAAGCTTTTCTATCTTGGTTGTGCCTCCTTTCCCTCTTTCCAGTTAAATATCAAAGTAGAATTCCCTTTTAAAGGGAACACCCATCCCTTAATGGGTATAGGCGCAGTTCAACAATCCAATCTCATCCTTATTGTTTTATTTACACTATTGTTATTATTGGTATTACATGTACTTCTATGGATTATTACGCAATGCTTTGACATTTAATACTATGTGTAGAACTAAATAATTCATTTGCATTCAGCACTGAATAATGGTGTCAAAAAATTGGGACGTTTTGTATCTTAAATTATTACATGCCCTAGTGTGTTTTGAGGGTTTGAAAAAGCCAAAGCGTTTAAACGCAGATCATAAGTTTCAATAAGTCTCAATGTACCTATACCACATTAATTAAGTAAAATTTTACCATTTCTCCCTTGCACTTGATGAACTGAACAAGATTTGATTTCTATCATTTGTCCTCAAGGCGGGATTAGCGTCGCCCTCTAATCCTGAACAGATAATAATCGCTTTGGAGCCAGAGGCTGCCTCTGTTTACTGCCGAGAGCAGAAAGTGAGGGATTTTATGACAGAACGTGGGAACAATGATTCTTTAGTCGCCGACATTCTGGCCCACACAGATACGCACTACGTGGTTGTCGACATAGGAGGTAAGTCCAACAATATGAATTGTGTCTTTTTATCCCTCCATCTATCCAGCCGTCTATCGGTCCCCTTGTCAGTTTAGAAATCCTTACCACCTTCAGTAATTGCTTGCTTTCGTGCGAGCTAGGGTCCTTACTTGGGTCTGATTGTTTGTGTCTTTTCTACCTTAACTCGTTGCCCTCGTTCGATTTTACATTCGTTCGATTCTATGTAAAATATCCGCATATTGAACTACAGAAGAAAGATTTAACACAAGGATAGACAATTAAAAAGTCATGCTTGAATTTTTTTTCCGGCTTTAGTTTTTCAGTTGACTAAGTTGCGTACCTAGCTGCTATGATCATTCATGCATTCAATGAGAAATAAAAGTGTTAAACAAACGTTCCCAATCGCGGTTGACATCATTCCCGGGCAAACAGTGTTGTAAGACGTAAAATAAATAAATAAATAAATAAATAAGAATAAAATAAAATAAATAAAGCTAATAAAGTAGATTTATCTAACAATTACCTCAAGTGTTTCTGTCAAGCATTACAGACCTCGGCTTCAAGATTTAAATTTAAAAAAAGTATATTAATTTTGTTGTTTCCCAGGTGGAACGCTTGACGTGACCGTACATCAAATTCAGGAGAACGGAACAATCAAAGAGATTCACAAGGCGACTGGAGGTCCTTTTGGTGGACAGAAAGTTAATAAACAGTTCATAGCCCTTTTGGAAAAAATATTTGGCCAAAAGCTCATTGAGAATTATATCCGGCAAAATCCAGTAGATTGGCTTTGCCTCATTAATGATTTTGAAGTAAAGAAACGTGGAAAGCGAGTCTGCGCGGGAGGAACTACCAGAATTCGGCTGCCTGGTAGTTTTGTGGGCAAATTCTCTGGCCGTAAAGGTTGGGACATAAATGCAATAATCCAAGAAAGTTACAGTCTGGAAGACATCAAGGTTCAGCGAAACGAATACCTTTGCCTTGAAACAAAGATCATGAGACAGCTGTTCGACCCGGTCCTGGATGATGTCGTGGTGCATCTTTCCAACCTCTTCGCCAAACAGGAATTATCTGAGGTTGAAACTGTCTTTCTTGTCGGTGGCTTTGCTGACTCGTTACTCCTCCAGGAAAGAATCAAAAAACATTTCAGCAAGAGCTACCGCATTATGGTGCCGCCGAACGCCTCCCTTGCAGTTGTCCAAGGCGCTGTGATGTATGGGCAAAAACCTGAAGTATTTGAGTCCAGAATAATGAGTTCTACTTATGGCATCCGTATACACAGGTTGTTCCTAGATGGATTGCACCCCGAATCAAAGAAGGAGGTAATCAACGGAGTCTCGCGCTGTAGAGACATCTTCTTCAAGTTCGTGAAAGTCAATGAAGTCGTGAGAGATGGAGAAAGACGTCGATTCACTGGCTTTTCACCTCTGAAAGGTGCTGAGAAACAAGTTAGAATTGATTTCTACCGATCAGAACGCGCCGATGTTGAGTTTGTAACAGATCCTGATGTCGAGAAGGTTCCTGGCCGAGGATTGGTACTTGAGACACCAGAGGCTTGGAAAACCAGGGACATCGAATTCAATTTATTCTTCGGTGGAACAGAAATAAAAGTGACGGCGGTAAATCTCACAAGTAACAAGGAATCGACCGCCTACCTTGACTTTTTAACCACCAACCAGTAATTGCGTGATTAGCTGAAGAATTTATTATTCTGGAAGCTTTTCAGCATTTGGTTCATAGCAATTAGGTGATACCACGAAAAGTTGAAAGCGTTAAGATATTCAAACTTTGTAACTAAATAACATTTCTAGTCGGGATAAAAGCTCAGAGCGTAGAAAATAATAGTGCTTCGAATTGAAATGCGACCTATTTTGGTTTTTCGAAATCAAACTTTGTTCTACTCCAGAGTTATGTTTTAGGCTATGTTTTAATAACACACGAAAAAATATTCAGCAATATTGTACATCGACTAAGGTAGAATATATCCATCTGTTAAAGGAGAATGACGCTTTGACGATTTTCATTTCGCAACTTGAATCGGACTTGTAAGAACAATGGTCAAACATGTATGGATTTTTCCAGGCTTACTGTGCATTACAATTAACTAGTTAGCATGGCTGCATTATCTACTCTCCTTGGTGTCTTTGTCCAGCTATATTTTTACAGGATCAGAAGATAACAGGTAGCTCAGTTACACATTTTCTAATACAAATTTACTGCAATGTCGTTCATACCCCTAACGTTTCACATACATTATAACGAAGCAAAGGGGCGTTTTCGAACTGTGTGTACGTAATTAAGGGTGCATCATAATTCAATGATGCCGCTCACGGTGTTTTCATAAGCAAATTATTTAACTTTGCTTTGCGAGAAAATTTAATTCCACTGGCAATGGTATAAAACAATTGATTCATGCTTTTCTCTGTGCATTATCGAGCTATGATGCACTTGCGGAGTAGACACCAATTGTTGATTAACGCACATTGCATAACTCCAGGATAAATTTTTAATTTCTCCTTCGGATTCCACTAATCTACCAGATAGTATTTATTTTCAAGCGGTAGTTTTAACTACGGTTAGTACAAAAGAAAAAAAAAAAAGAAAAAAAATCTACATTTTAAAATTCAGTTATTGATCATCTTTGATTAATGTTCCTTAAATTATGCGCGATGATACATAAATTAGCATAGTCGTTAAATTTTAGGGTTGCATATTTGCCCGAACAACTATATAAGTGGCGGATCCAGACCTTGAGCTAAGGAGGGGGGAGGGCGATATCTAGACCTTGAGCTAAGGGGGAGGGGGCGGTTTTTTTTTGCTTGCCCTGCCTGCTTTTCTTTCTTCTGCGATTCTTTTTTAACCAAAATAAGGTGGGGGCGGGGGGGGGGGAAGCCGGGCCCCCCGTCCCCCTCCCCTAGATCCGCCACTGTGTATGTACAACCTTCGTCCTTAACAACACCCATTTCAAAAACTGTTTTGTTTAGTGCCTGTAAAACATTAGTAATCTAGCCTAACCTGTCAACTCTTTCTTCGTTGCTGGGCTGAGAATTGATCAATACATAAAAAAAAATCGAGAAAAAAATAAAACAAAATAAAGAAAAAAAAAAAACCCGAAAATCTGAGATCTGCAAATTTACCGATGCAACGTAGCTGAAAAATCGGCTTAAACTGTACGTGATAGCTAAGAACATGCTAAAAGTTGAACTGATGACGGAGATTCCAGCACCCTCACGTGACTCATGCTCAGGATAAGTACAGACTGTACGTTGGTACAGGTTTGACGCACCTAAGCGAAGGCGTCGATCATCTCATCATGCATCATGCGAAGTGACGCACATCGATATTATGGACGCAATGTTATTATTTGAGGGGGGTGGGGGAGTTGGGGGGTAAAGCAGCCAAGCCTTTTCGAGGCCTTAGGTGAGCTACAAAGTGCATCCAGGTTGCGGAGTGAGCAGAAGCACTTACCAACGTAAACATTTTTGCGTTCGAATTATTAAACCCAATAATTGGCGCATTACTGCCCACCCCAGCACCCACCCCACCCACCCTCCCCAAAAAGAAATAATGATAATGACAAAAAAATACGAATAATAAAAAATGAGAAAAAGGCAAATGCTGAAACTGTAGCTGCAAGGATAAAGGTCGGAGAGGTTGAGATTGCCGCTGAAAACATAGCCTTCAACAAGTCTTTCTCGGACAGCTGTCACTTCCAGAGAAGCTCAGGTTCAAATTATGTGATGCACAAACTTTTCGGGTACTGGAGCTAGGTCCAGAAGGAGTTTGAAAAAGCGTGAAACATTAATGATCATCAGTAATGCAGGTACCAAATTTCAATCAAGTCCAGTGTTTATTCAATCCGGTCATTTTGGCGTGATGCAACTGGAAAAAAAAAAACGCATTTAATTTAAACCTGTGTTTCTCAGTAAAATGTAATCAAAACTGAATATTCAATCCAATATCATTGTAATGTTTTTTTTTTTTTCAGTTCAAACCCCAGCGAAAAAAAATTTGTTCTATCCATTTATGAAATTTTTATCCTATCCATTCAAGAACATCCTCAATAGTCGAGGTATTTCATTCAATCTTCCCGGGGTGAGCGCGGTTAAATCGAGCTGATGAGCCGAGGGTAGGGGAATAGAAAACATAACTTCAAAATGGCTCACGTTGATGTTTCGGGTTTAGGAACCGATTTTCCTAGGTTTTTGGAGTCTGTTAACCCTAAAAGCACAACACAATTTTTCACGACGATGGCGAGAAAATTCAAGTAGAACGGTAAAACCAGAAAACGCAAGAATAAGTATTTTCCAGTATATATTTTGCGAGATGAAGCTGCAAACTTGAGTCTAGGAGAAAATGTAATTTCTGACAAGTGGAACGAATTATTTAGAAATTATCATTCTGACGGCACTTGCGGGGTCTAATGGGAAGTTTAGGGACTATTTAGGCATTTGGCGGGAGATTTAGGCCATTCTTCGTGTTCTTCCTCGTTTTTATTATTATTAAGCTTTTGTTATAGCAGGTTCTATGTATAGTTGTAATTTGCAAGGATACAGATAATGTTGTAGGACGGAATACATCTACATCAGATGACTGGACGGACGCATCCCCAGTACTGCTATTCACATTGGATGTCTCGTGTTAGAGTAGTCAGAATCTTATGATTACTGCGCGCGAAAGATTCAGTGAAGTACAAAAATGATAGAATGATTTATATTTCCTAAACTGAGTACTATCATGCAAAGGTTTGGCTGGAAGCTAAACATAGAAGCTGAGCAACGCTTCGCACAAATGTAGACCTCTATACCGCACAGGGAATGATAATATATCTGAAAAAATACACACATTTATACTATGCCATTGAAATTAAAGCCAATCAGAATACAGGAGAGCCATTTTATACTCGGCGGTATTACAACCAACTTTCCCATTGTACGCTACGCTTGAGTCGTATTGACTATGTTGGCCAATGCATTTTCTATGGCATGGTATGAAATAGTTATGCAACGCTTTGTATATCATATATCTTTTATATCATGGAATATCCCACTTGTCACTTGTACTTTCTTGAAGAACATTCTCACCTTAAAGCTCGAGTACTGAGAAAATACAAGTGACTAGTGGGATATTCCTTGGCGCGCGAATTCAGCAATATTTTTTGACTGAATAGGCAATAAAAATTATTGTAAGCGAAGTAAACCCTTAGAAAATTGTTCCCAAATGTGATGTAAATAAAATAATTATTACAGTCAAACGAACTCATGGTTCCCTTTTAATTTGTCAGTAGCTAATAAAAAAGAGCTAACTTACGCCTCATTCGCTAAAATTAATATGTAGAACACAGGGTTCGAGCTTCGCGCTCTGGTTCGAAGTTTCAACTTACATGTTCCGAACGAATTTAATCAAAAAGTGATTTTAAAAATAACGAGACTTAAGGAGTTGCCCTTCCAGATGAAGTAATCAGTATTTAACTAAGGCACAAACATTATTTTGACCCTTTTAGTACTGTGGCAGCCTTGCAATAAACTTGGTTTAACAGAATGAAATCAAAAGTAAATTAGCCTAAGCTTTTGATAAATGATCTACGTCTACTATTGATAATTATTATCTATACGTCGACTAAAAAAGAGTATAACGTCTTAAAACTACTTCACCTTATGATAAAGTAAGGAATGGAGGCTACAGTCAAGCATTTATGATCGACAGAAAAAATCCAAGGTGGTTTGCGCCTTGTTTCCACTTGAAACATCCCAAGCTGTTGCGGTTATTTCGGTTCCACCAAAATACATGCTGACTTCTATATTCCTATCTTTACCTCTCCAGGTATCTGGGGACTTAACCACGACTCTTCCAATCTTAGTTACCCCGGGGTCAGTGACAAACTGAGTTTTAGGATTGCTTGTGACGTAGAATCCAAATTTTAGTCTTGTTGTGCTCGCTCTCACGGGATGGTATCTCTTGGTAATTCTCTCACCAAGCTTAACTACCTTATTTTCCTTTACAAAGCACTTAAATACTTCACCGCACTTCTCAACACCATCTGCGATAAACTTCTTTTCTTCCGGATGAACACCCTCGACAAAATCGATGCTGCGGTCAGCGCCGTAAGTTGTGCAGACGACTCTTTCGGTTATTTTGGAGGGCTTCTTGCCAAAGATGACAGCACCTTGGACAACCGCTTTCGTTGCATGATGAGGAATGAGGACTCTGAGGGTCCCTGAAAATTCCTTTTTTATTTCTTCTTGAAGGAAAGCAGAATCGGCGAAGCCGCCAACGAGAAGCATGATTTGCACTTTTGAAAGCTTTGGCTTTTTCAGCAGTGTTTTCAAATGCTCTTTTATACTTTTCACCACAGGCGTAAATAGCTCTTTCATCATTCTTGAACTCAGAGAAAGATACTCGTTATTTTTCAGCTTGACTTCTTTTTCTCCATACCGTTCCATAACTAGGCTTTTTGTCTGATTTACCAGGGACACAAAGCTGCGTGGCAATCGGATGTTTGTCATCAAGCTGCTGTCTAGGATTCGTTTCCCTCGTTTTTTTGCTTCGAACTCATTCATCAAGGAGAGCCAATCGGATGGAAACTGGTTGCGGTACGTCTGAATTTTTTGCGCACCAAACAAGTCTTCCAAGAGGCTCTCGAATCGCTGATTTACGTATATTCCACCATAAGGGCCCCCTGTAACTTTGTGGATCTCTTTGATGGTACCATCCTCTTGTATTTCATGGGCGGTCACATCAAGCGTGCCCCCTTTATAAGAAAAAAAAGCAGTCAGGACGCTAATTCCAAAATTTTATCTTCCCTAAGTAAAATAGATGTTGGGTAATTTTTCTGTTTTCTACTATCAAGGTGGGGTAAAGAATGGCAAGGTGAAGGTCGCACGGAATTAACGGGTAAAATAACATGGCAGGAAGTGACAAGGATAAAATGAGTGTGGTGGTTATTGATTTCACTCGGATTCCACACGAGTTGCCCACTCTCTATGACCAGAGTGGACTAGCTGGTGAGTAACCAGTATAATCACTATTAACGACTTCGAAAGCGATATTTTTACGGTGAATTTTGAACTTCCATCTTCCTTATGGCTCGTGATCTTTTGTTCAGAAACAAAACGATGAAATGATAAAACAGAACGTTCAGAAATAAGAAAAAGTTTACAGGAATGGTCCACTAACAAGACCATCTACAATTCCGCACAGAAGCACGATGTAATTTTGATATAATGATACTGATTACTGGATTACTGTGTTTTACATGTTGTTTCACTTGTCAATTGCATCCATTTTATCTAAAATATGCGAAAATGGTGTTGTTTGAAGAAAATAGGAAGCTCCTGGGCGTAACGATAGATTGCGATCTTAATTTTAATGTGCATATTGGTGTAATCTCTGTAAGAGAGCTAGCCTGAGAATTGGAGTGATCATGAGGTTGATGAATCATACCAACTGAGACCAAATTACACCTTTACAAAGCAGCTATTCTCCCTCATCTTACATATTGCCACCTATAGCTAATGTGGCATTTTTGCAGAGCCTCGGACACTCGTAGATTAGAGAGAGTACAGGAGCGAGGACTGCTGCTGTTTTTAGAGATAAGTTGTCTGGCTACCAGCAGCTGTTAGAGAAAGCCAATGTACCAACATTGTATAATAGGAGACTACAAGACACATATATATTTTAATGTGTAAGGTTAAACATAATTTGCGCCGGCGGACTATTTGTAACATGTTTTATACTAACAGCCACACTTATAGTTTACGGCAGAGAGAGATTTTCATTTACCTAGATTTAACACTGTTACGTATGGAAAACAATCAATCCGATATCTAGGCCCAAGACTATGGAGCAAACTAACACATAAAGAAAGATCGGCGATAAATCTCAAGCAGTTGAAGACCCACGTACGTAGGCTAGATATAGGCAACATCCTAGATGGATGTAGTGGCTGCCATCTTTGTAACTTATAATTTTAATTTCTCTTATGGGACTTTTCGGTACACTATTTTAAGATAGTTCTAGTTAGGTGCCCCCTATTAGCAGTGGGGATTTTCCACTGCTAGATGTAATTGTATAAAATAATAAAGTCATTATCATTATTATTCGGAAAAGAAGTGACTTAGAAAAACATTTGACAATAAAAAATTGCGACAGAGCATTTCTTAAAAACGTTCTAAGATTTAAAAAGCTAAAAAGCCGAAAATCGCAAAAAAAAATAGTTTCCAACAAGAAAACTAATCTCTTACAATCGCAAAAATTAGTTCTCGCGAAATAATAATAATAATAATAATAATAATAATAA